CCATTCTCCACAAAAGGACCTGGGGCTCCTAAGAAAAATGGACTGACTTCAGGATGAGGACAAAAAAGTACAAGAGGAGATAAAAATATTTTGTTCTTCCAAAAAGTAAAATAAATAAATAAATAAAAATGCTCAACAAACGGTGGAGACATACGAAAGGACAAAGGAACCAACTGAATGGGCTTTCATTGGCCAAATCTCAAGTCTCATCAGATATATGAATCCACACAGATATACATAAAATTTAAAAATAAATAAGAGACAAGGGAAAGGTCTCCATTAGGGTTGAGTGCCGACTAAATAAGGAAGGTATAATAAACTTAGAAAGTCATCCATTGGCAGGATGATCAAACTAGTGAATAAACGCTTGATGAAGAGCTAGAGGTTTACACAGTCTCAAAGTGTCTCCTTCAAAATTTTTGACTAATACAATTGGTTTTAACAATTGAGAGTGGGACAGTTGGGCTTCCCTGGGGGTTCAGTGGTAAAGAATCCACCTGCCAATGCAGAAGACACAGGTTTGATCCCTGGTCAGGGAAAATCTCACGTGCTCTGGAGCAACTAAGCTCATGCATCACAACTATTGAGCTTGTGCTCTGGAGCCCGGGAGCCACAACTACTGATGGCAAAGAACCCTAGATCCAAGACTTCGCAACAAGAGAAGCCACCACAATGAGAGGCTCTCTCACTGCAACTAGAGGGTAGCCCGCACTCTCTGCAACTAGACAAAAAAGCCTATCCAGCAATAAAGACCCAGTAGAGGCAAAAGAATAGTGAAACAGTCAATAACCAACATCATGTGCCTTCTGATATGATGTACAGAGAATACATTATTTCAGTGATATTCCCGCCAAAAATGTGTAACCTGAATCTAATCATGAAGAAATATCAGGCAACACCAACTGAGGAACATTAAAATACAAGAAATTCACACAAAAGAAAAATTGAGAAACATTTCAGAATAAGGATACCAAAAAGGTATGACAAGTGAATGTAGTATGTGATTCTGGATTGGATCCTGGACCAGGAAAAAACAGTTATAAAGATTTTGTTGAGACAGATGACAAAATTTGAATATGGACTGTGGATTAGAAAATAACATTGTATCAATGTTTAATGTCTGTATTTTGAAAATTGTACTATGGTTATATAAGAGAATGTCCTTGTTAGGAAATGCACAATGAAGGACTTAAGGGTAAAGGGGCATGATGTTTCCAACCTATTCTCAACTGATTCAGAAAAATGCATATTATCTATTAATATCTACCCATCTAGGAATGACAAAGGAAATGGAGCTGAGGATTTCCTGGTATTTTTTAAGGACATTAGATCCAGGAATCACAATAAATTTCAAGCAAGATAAATGGAAAGATATCCACATATATATGTATCCTAGTGAAACTGTGGGCTTCCGAGGTGGTGCTAGTGGTAAAGACCCCACCTGCCAATACAGGAGACGTAAGAGATGTAGATTCGATCCCTGGGTCAGAAAGATCCCCTGGATGAGGGCATGGTAACCCATTCCAGTATTCTTGCCTAGAGAATCCCATGGACAGAGGAGCCTGGTGGGCTACAGTCCACAGGGTCATCAAGAGTCTGACATGACTGAAGTGACTTAGCAAGCCCACACACAGTGAAACTGGAACACCACTTAAAAAAACTCTTAAACAGCCATAAAGAACAGACAGATAATGTGTTAAAGTGGCGGTGAGAGTTACAACTGACTTTTCAAAGCAATAATGGAAAACAGAAGACAGGTAAGGAAGAATATCAGAATACAGGAGACCACTGAGGGTCCCCTTAGTTTACATTGCCCTGTGATCAGGGGCAATGGAAGACTGTGACAACCCAATCCAACCCAACAGACAACCCGATCTGGCTTGGTGATGACCGGATCCTTTAGGAATGAAGGTTTGGGTCCCCCTACCAGATAAAGAACCATGGCCAGCTGAGGTGTTGTCAGAAGGCCAAAGGAATACAGAATGGGTAGTAGAAGAAGGTAGTTATAAATGCCCAGCTACAATCATGGGGCCAGCTATAGAAATGAGGGCTATAATTATCACAAATTTTGTTACATTTATTTTTTCCATATAGAAACCATTTATTCCAAATGCCTACTTAATTATGAAAAGATTTAATTTTGTTATGTATAGTATACATATAATATATGTATACACATATATTACACAGATATCTTTGTTTTCTTTCCACTTGTATTCCCTTCATCATGTAACATAAGATACGCAATAAGTTCCCAACATATGAATGAGTTCCATTCTGAGAGTGCATTTGTAAGTCCAATTTGTTCATAAGTCCAACAAAGTTAGCCAACAAATACCCAACTAACACAGCTGGTTATATAGTACTGTACTGTAATAGGTTTATAATACTTTTCACACAAATAATATATCAAAAGACACACAGAAAATAAAACAACTTTAATCTTACAGTACAGTATCTGGGAAAGTGCAATAGTACAGTACAATAACTGGTATACAAGGTCAGGCATTGAGTGAACAGGCAAGAGGAGTTACTGACTGGAGGAGGGAGTGGAGGTGGGGGATGGCAGAGCTGAACACTCTTCAACAGCAGGAGTTGGATGGCAAGCTGCAATTTCACTCACACCTGACGTCAATGGCACAGGTTCTGGTTCCTTGCTGGCACCTGCTCAGTCGCATCTTTGAAAGTTCAAAACTTGAAGGTTCATATGTAGGGGGCTTACTGTATTGACCTTACATCAGTATTATTAATTTACATCATAGTATTTGAGTTATAGGTTATCACGAGAAGAATAAACATCACTCAAGGATTTTATTTCCACTTCTGGGGAAGAAATGAGTGTGTTTCAGTTGCACGTAGAATAGTTTTATCATGTTGGCAGAGTTATGATCTCATTATTGTTTTTATTTAGAGGTTAAATATAGTTTAAGGAGATGTATAGGGGTGTCGAGTTTACAAGGAGTGGACTTGTGATGGTCAATTTTATGTGTCAACTTGACTAGGATAAGGGATGCTCAGACAGCTGGCCACATATTATTTCTGGATATGTCTGTGAGGGTGTCTCTGGAAGAGATTAGTATTTGAGTCTGTAGATTGAGTAAAGAGGACCATCTTCATCAGTGAGGGGTCCATCATCTAATTCAGTTAGGGCTGGAAAGGAACAGAAAGGTGGAGGAAGGGTGAATCCCTCTTCCATCTTCTTCTGCCTTTCTGATTTGTTTTAGCTCTCCTGGTTCTCAGGCTTCAGCCTGGGATTTAAATTACACTATTGCCCCCAACCCTTTCTCAGGCCTTTGGATTCAGAGTGAATTACACTGCAGGCTTTCTTGGGTCGCCAGCTTGCAGACAGCAGATCCCGGGACTCCATAATCATGTGAACCAATTCCCATAATAAATCTCCTCTTATCTCTCCTCTCTCTCTCTACATATATATATTTACTTATTTATTGCTATTTATATCCTATTGATTCTATTTCTCTGGAGAACCCTAATGCAGATAGATTAAGGGTCTAACTTTTTTGAGGGTACAAAAGCATTAAAAAAAAACACAAAAATTATTCATTGTGGAGTTTTTCTTAAGCAAGATGCAAAAGCAGAAGCCATAAAAGTACATTGTGAGAGTTATCTAAAATTAAAAATAAAAAAATAAATTAAGTAAAAGACATCATAAATAAAGTTAAATGACAAGGGATGCAGTAAAAGAAAATATGTACAAGTCAACAAAAAAGGAAAATCACCCATTGGAAAAACAGGCCAAAGCTGTAAACTGAATGGTTGACAAATACCTATGAGAAGATGCTCAGCCTCACCAGCAATGAGGGAAACCCAGAGTAAAGGAGTTATTTTTTCTTTCACCAGCCTGTCAAAAGCAAAATGAAAAACCCTGACAGGACTTCCCTAATGGCACAGTGGATAAGAATTGGCCTGCCAGTGCAGGGGATACAGGTTTAATCCGTGATCCGGGAAGATTCTACATGCCTCAGGGCAGCTCAGCTGGGGCACCACAACTCCTGAGCCTGCAGGCTGCAACTACTGAAGCTCGTGCGCCTACAGTCTCTGCTCCACAAGAGAAGCCACTGCAATGAGAAGCTCGCACAGCACAAGAAAGAGTGGCACCTGCTCCCCGCAACTAGAGAAAGACATTGCAATGACAAAGACCCAGGAAAGCCAAAAATTAACAAACTAATTAATAAATTTAAAAAATTCTTTTTTGATCCTGAATAAACTCATTAAAAAAAAAAACCTGACATATTGTGTTGTTTCTTTCATTTATGCCACTGGTGGAAGTATACACTGGTAAAGCCTTTTGGAGGGCAATTCAGTGGAATCTATCAACATTAAAAGGTAACTCCCTTTAACTCAGCACATCCACTTCTGAGAATCTTCCCTTCTGAATATGTGCACAGAGTTGCACGTAAAAGGATATGTGATCCATCACCAGATCTATGAAATCTAGCATTGTCCATTGCATGCTAGATTACATTCATGGAAGGCATCACCAATGCAATGGACATGAACTTGGGCAAACTCCTGGAGATGGTGAGGGACAGGGAGGCCTGGTGTTCTGCAGCCCATGGGGTCACAAAGTGTCAGACACAAATGGGCAACTGAACAACAACGATAACCATTGCAACTAAAATGCTTCTGTGTCCTGTCAAGCAAGCACCCTCAAGACCTCAATTCATTTTGACCAGGGAAGAAAGCAAATAGTGTCAACAATAATCCATTTCTGTAAAACTAAAAGAAATCACACATGCATATAGTTGTGTGTCTAATATATGTAGCTAAGTGTCTAGAGAAAGGGCTATAAGAACATACACCAAACTGGGAGGTGATGGAGAGAGCTGATGACTTGTGTAAAGGAGGATGTTCATATTTCCCTCTGAGGACCTCAGTGACACTTGACTTATTCACACCGAAATGGAAGAAGAAGGTTTAAGAAGTCAACCGCTCCACAGTAGGACAGAGCAGTGCTTCCAGCTGCTGTGAAATATACATACCTTGTCTTTCTGTGTTGCTAGCTCTGAAGTTGTTTCTTCAGTTAGTTTGGGGTGGGGCCGAGGGATTAGCATTTTCCCTCCTTCCAAGATGGAAACTACTGTTTTGGGAACCATAATTTGACAACCACTAGCTTTTTCTTCCTTGCGCTGATGAAAATGTGCAATAAATGTTTATCAAATTAGGTTGGTGCAAAAGTAATTGTGGTTTTGCATTGTTGAATTTGCCATTTGATAATGGAACACATTCTTAAATAAATGTGGGTTATGTGATACATCATTTTAATGTGCATTTCTCACTTTATGTTTTTTGCTAATGACATTACTTGCTGTTTATTTTATATTTATTTTAGATTATAAAAATGATGTTAAACAAAAAGCAAACTCGACTTTTTTTTTTATTCAAGTGCAAAATGTGTCATAAAGCAGTGGAGACAACTCACAACATCAACATTGCATTTGGCCTAAGAACTGTTAATGAACTTAAGAGTACAGTGGTGGTTCGGGAAGTTTTGCAAAGGAGACGAGAGCCTTGAGATTTCCCGGCCATCCGAAGTTGACAAAGACTAATTGAGAGCCATCGTGGAAGCTGATCCTCTTGCAACTACAAAAGAAGTTGCTGAAAACTCAATGTCAACCATTCTATGGTTATTTGGCATTAGAATCAAATTCGAAAGCTGAAAAAGCTCCATAAGTGGGTGCCTCAGGAGCTGACCAAAAAAAAAAAAAAACATTGTTGATTTGAAGTGTTGTTTTCTCTTATCCTACTCGACAGCAATGAACCATTTCTCAGTCGGATTGTGACATGCAATGAAAAGTGGATTTTATATGACAACCAGTGATATCAGCTCAGTAGTTAGACTGAGAAGAAGTTCCAAAGTACTTCCCAAAGCCTAACTTGCACTGAAAAAAGGTCACGGTCACTGTTTGGTGGTCTGCTGCCCATATCTGATCCACTACAGTTTTCTGAATCCTGGTAAAACCATTACATCTGAGAAATATGCCCAGCAAATCGATATGATGCACCAAAAACTGCAACGCCTGCAATTGGTTTTGGTCCAAAGAAAGGGCCCAATTTTTGCCAGGACAACACCCGACCACTTGTCACACAGCCAATACTTCAAAAGCTGAACAGATTGGGCTGTGAAGTTTTGCCTCATCTGCCATATTCACCTGACTTCCTGCCATCCGACTGCCACTTCTTAAAGAAACTCAGAAACTTTTTGCAGGAAAAATGCTTCCACAACCAGTAGGAGGCAGAAAATGCTTTCCAAGAGTTCATTGAATCCTGAAGCACAGATTTTTTATGCTACAGGAATAAAAAACTTATTTCTCATTGGCAAAAATGTATTGATTGCGATGGTTTCTATTTTGATTAGTAAAGCTATTTTTGAGTCTAGTAATAATGGTTTAAAATTCACCATCCAAAACCACAACTACTTTTGCATCAACCTAATACATCCTCAAGGAAGCTCCCGGGTGTCCCAGGGCCAAGCGTGATGCCTGCCATTAATGACTTGAACTTGGCTCTGGGGTAGGTGTGGTGTTACACTGAATGGTTTTGAGGATCCCTGGTTTGAATAGTTGAAGGTAACTGTTGATGAAACTTTCCAGGAAGTGGTCATTAGAGGGAAGAGATTAATTATAATAACACTAACAATGGATGTGACACCCACCAACTCCAGTGTCTGCTTAAGTGTTTTATTGACATCTTGGTCAATTAAATCCTGTAAAAGCCCTGTGAGTGTGGCATGATCACTTCTATTTTATGAATGAGGAAACCAGAGGCTCAGTGAATTTAAGTAATTTTCCCAAGGTCAAGTTCCAGAATCCCACCAAGCCTGATTGCCAGACAGTTCTGTGCTTTGTTTACATCACACCCTACCTCAAGAAGTCACTGATAGGAGGAGACTGTCTTGAGAACTGGAGTTTCCTTACCTGGGGATTGTGAATCATTTTCAAAAATGCTGGGAAGACGCCATCCATTAAGAAAACATTGCCTATCTGATTTGAGAGCCTGTTCACACAAAACATTCCCAGCCCCAAACCATTCTTCTTGACATAGCCCTGGTCCCCTAACAGGTAGCAGTGGCTGCCCCAAGAGAAGTATTTTTTCTGACCTTTGCAGTTTTATGTTCTCTGGTGGAGCACTCCTCCTCAACCCCCACCCTCTGCCCAGCCTCCATGGGCAGAGTATTCTGTGCTGGGGAGCTGAGGCTTGACAAATCGAGGCCATGCGTGTGCGTGCATGCTAAAGTCACTTCAGTGGTGCCCAACTCTGTGCGACCCTATGGACTGTAGCCTGCACAGCTCCTCTGTCCATGGGATTCTCCAGGCAAGAATACTGGAGTGAGCTGCCATGCCCTCTTCCAGGGGATCTTCCCAACCCAGGAACTGAACCCATGTCTCTCACATCTACTGCATTGGTAGGTGGGTTCTTTACCACTAGGGCCACCTGGGAAACCCTTTATCAAGGCCAGTTTAATTGGAATCCATCCCTCTCCATAGAGAAGAATACCAAGTTCTGGGACTTCCCCCACCCTCCCCAGAGGATAAAAATAGCAGCCTCTCAGGGTCTCACCACTGGTGCAGCAACTGCTCGCTGAAGCTGGGACTGGAGGGAAGCAGCTGTTCGTAGGGGCGCAGGACTAGTGGGAAGTACAAGGGGTCAAGGCAGGGACCTGCCTACAGGGACTAGGTGACCCAGAACGGCAAGCATGCTTGGAAGCCTCCAGAAGACAGGCAGCATCTGGAACAGGTTCCACTGCGACACGTCAGTACATCCCAAGGTGCACCAGCTCGCTGGATCGCCTTTAAAAAAGACGAGGTGTATCTGTGATTCTTCACCTCTTTGAGGGACAAGGACTCCCTACAACAATTGAGGAGATGTCCATATCACTTCTGTGTATGCTCAAGCCTACACAGCACACACTTTTGCACACAATTTCATATGGGGGGGGGGGCTGTCAAAGTCCAGCAAGGACCATATGTTAATGACCCCAAATGCAGGTTGATTATAGAGATGCAGGATGATTCTAAAAAATAAAAATTTGTCACATGTAGAAATAAGGTTAAAAAGTTTGCTGAACAAGATCTTGGAAAGTAAATGTATATAGTATATACTCATGAAGACAGACACAGAAATGTTAATGTTGACCTCTGTTGGTAGGATAAAAGGTGATTTCTATTTGTCTCCATCTCCTCTCCAAACGAAAAGCATGTTTCTCTTTTGCAATCCGCGGCCGCATCCACGCAATTCCCTGGATTTGGGAGCCCGGTGGGCTGCAGGCGCGGCCTGGGCCTGCCTGCCACGACCCTCCATCCTGGGCGGGTGTGTGTGTGTTACAGACAATAGGCAAGCAAACATCAGGCTGGTGACAAGGTGGGACGAGGGCTGGCTCCTTTAAAGGGTTAGCGGAGAGTCCTGGGCCAGCAATGCTACTGGGAAAGCAAAGGGTTCCTCGCGAGGTTCGGGGCCCGCACTGAGGAGGCGGTGCGTGCGTGCGCGCTCTCAGGGCGGCGGCGGCGCGCGCGCGCCCCCGCGACCCGCTCCCCGCAGCGGAGGATGCCGCCGACTGGACCGCGGGCGGGTCGGTCCCAGCTCCCAGGGTCGCCTCTGGGCCCCGGCCTTTGCCTGCTGTGTTGGCCGGGGAGGTGTGGTCGCTGCCCGCCCCCACACCCCGGGCCAGCCTTCCGGCCTACTCCCCACGCCGCCTGAAGACCCGGGGACCCCTCGGCCGCCGGCGAGCTACTCCATTCCAGCCTGCTTACAGCCTCTTCAGCCGTTCGCCTTATTCCCTAGAGGCACTCTTCCCCGCCGCTCCAAGTTTCTTTGACCCTATACGTGTCGCTCTAGGGCCCTGGATTTTGAGTTATCGAAATCCACGTTTTATTTAGGTATCGCAGTGATTTTGATGCCCTGGTAGAGCCCACACTACTGTGCTGATACTTTGCTGCAATCATAGATTTATATTTTCTTTAAATGAAAGAAATTGTTTATAAGGGCGCTGCCTGTTCGAGGCAGTCTCCAGATCAGGGACGATAAGCGTATTTTATAATAGTGAATGACTCTCCAGGTACCAGACCTTTTAGCTTCTTCAGTACTTTGGTTTTTGTCTTGGATATGTTGGAGTTTGGACTGGTCCTGTATTTCTGGGCCACTCTTATACGTTGAATACCTTGTAAGGAAAGGAGAACTTGGCTTTGGGTCAGCTGGTGGTTCTGTTCTACCTAATTAGTTTTGTTATTGGGGAATTAATTTGAAAAATATGACTTTGTGGATTCTGGAAGGTAACCCCTTAGAAGAAGGTCTAAGAGAAATGGCCCCAAATAGGAAGTCTTTGGTACTTTCAGATACCTAGACATTCACTTTCTTTTGTGTATTATGGGCCAAAGAGCCACAGTTTGTTTTTTTTTCCATCTTTATTTCATCTCAGACTTGTGGGACGTCTGAGTGTTTGATGGGAAAAGTTATTCTTTTATCTGTCATTTTATCCTGTTTTTTTTTAAAGTCATAAGACTTTCTTGAAGCCTGTTGAAGTCGACTTAGTGTTAAAATGGAATTGCTTTTAAGCAGATTGTTTAGACATTGTTGCATATATGGGTTTGTAGTCTTTAACCAAAGAAGAATGCTGTGTTTTTGTAATGTCCTGCCATTCTAAATCCTCTTTGCAGTCTAGCAGAATTAGCGGAATTTAGTTTAGCTGAATGAAAATTGCAAATTGGATTAGTGCTTGAAACAAGACTCAGGTTTAGGAAAAATAGTGTTTATAAATTAACCCATCACATTAATCAAATAATATTTTAAAGATAGTAATTAGTTCATTTAAAAAATACTATATTGTGCATGATTTTGTAAAGATTTTTTGGTTAAAAATGTGTATATAATTTGTGGCTTTGTTTATATGTAAGAAATCATCTCTGGGAGAAGGACAGGGAAGCTTGGCATGCTGCAGTCACGGGGACCCGAGGAGTCAGACTTGACTGAGCAGCTGAACTGGATTGAGCAAAGGGACAGGGGACAACCAGAATCTGACATGGAGTGCCCGCCATATACTTGGTCCTCCATGTTTTAT